ATCTGTAGAGATGGACAAAAAAAGTATTAGTTATACTATCAACTAAAGAAGGAATGTTTAAATTAAGTAAAATATGTAATATAATTAAAAACATGTACAAAAACGAAAGCAAAACAGCTTATTATAAAATGGAGACGAGATGTCATAGATAAATGTTAAAGGCTATAGAAATAACCGTAGATGTACGATGTCAATTTATACAGTGGGCTATAGATAGTTAAAAGAGAATCCCGTAGATGCACGATAACATCGATTTATGCTGTAAACAATAGATAACTGTTAGAAATAAAACCATAGATGCCACAGATCGCTTCGATTACTATGAAAACTAAGTAACTTCAATATAATAGAAAAACAACTGCTTACCTGGAGAATTACTCTACGGTACTAGAGATTTATTCCTAAGCGTTGATAAAGAGAAGTGTCTCTTAACAATAACCACACATCGCATTGCAACCTTATATGTATCAGCGTAAATCGGACTGCATATATTTTCTAAAAATCGCACCTTTCACAGTCAAGGGGCGGGAACATTAAAGGGTTTTGAATCCTTTTTACTTTTTGTCTTGATTTACCCTCTCCATGTACATTTATTATGTTGTAATATAAACCTGTTAAAACAATTTAATATCATTAGTTGTATGTTGTCGAAGCAACGCTAATTGAAACCAATCAAACGCTAAATTGAAACGCATTCCACACGATCAAATGAAATTTGAATAAGTATTAGAGCTAAATACCTTCACGTGTCGTTTCTATTTATGAACAACACAAATGGTGACATGTCTCCCTTTCCAAGACCGAAGACGAAATGATGATCGTAGATAATGAAGACGAAACGAGCCAGAAGCCCATAGATGAAAACTTCTTCTATACTTATAATTCATTGATAATTGATTTCATAGGTGCGTTCAATTATACTAACTCAGTTTAATTCGTAAATGAATAGAAACTGATACACCATTACAGAAAATTATCCCAATAAAACTGCAAAACTTATTGTAAGTATAAAAGCAGATCGTATCATAATTATCTCCTTACCCCGCTTCTTCTACAGAATTATCAAAATCTGACAATTGAACTTCCAATAATATGCATTTTTTAGGACCAAAAATTACAACGCTTTGGATTCAAAAAGAGGGTAAAGAGCTTAGTCACAACAGATCTGTCATTACACACTTAAATTTCGTTCTGTTCAAATTTTGAAAAATATGCAAATTATAACACGAGTAATGTTGGGAAAAGTTGATAGCATCCTTACAAAAAAATTGACTACTCATTTTGACCCCATCGTCTTCAATCAAAATTTCCAAAATCTGATACACGAATTTTATAAAATATGCGCATTATATAGCATGTAATTTTTATAGCCAAAAATTGTAAGGTTCTAGATCCAAAGAGAGGGTTGAGAGGGTAAATTGACCCCACACACTTTGTTCTCATCCACTTTAAAGAAAATTGTCAAAATCTGACAAACCAAATTTTACTAATAGAAACTGAAAAATTTTAGTTTGAAAAAGAAGAGTAGTAAAGAGCACCCTTACAAAAAATCTGACTACATGCACTTTGTTAATTAATTTATTAAAAATTAAAAATAATTGAAATAGTAATAATAATAACTGACCAAANGGCTGCCCAAATCTATCACATTCTCCAGGAGAACAAAGGATTGATTCCTCTAAACAATTTGAGCGGTTTGTATGCAAAAAAGTACGGCAGACCCTTAAAGTGTACCGATTACAATTTTCATTCAATGGAAGGGCTATTAAACGAATTGAACTTCGTCGCTGTGTTACGTAAATCAAGACGAAAGTGCAGTCTCGTTTTAAATAAAGAATTGGCAGGTAATCACATCGTTTTTTTTTTTTTTTACATTTTAAGTACAATACAATTGTTTATTGTAATATTTGTAGTGTATGGTCTGGATGTGATGCCATCATTTCATCAGGACCAAACGAAAGACGCAAAGGGCAAAGGTAATTTTACAAATTGGCCTCCGCCTCCGTTACCCCACGATTTGTTGAACAATACGAAAAGTTTGACACCCCCCAAACCAGACACACCAAATATGGACGTAAGTTTATTTATTTATTTATTTATATATTGCTATGTAATAAAAATAAATAGATCAAAATAGAAGCTGCTCAAGTATTAGCCATTGACAACTGTGTCACTTTTTCGACTTTTCAAGATCTATACGTAAAATGACGGGTACACTTGTGCAAGGCAAAATAGCAAGTTCGGTGGCAACAGCTGTCACCAAGTCTGGTGGGGTAACATCATACATTAAATTTAAATGAGTCAATTTCGCATTCACGTTATCTGCTTGTTTCTTCTCAGATGGCCTTATTAACTCGTTGGGATCTCCTAATAATTTAATCTTTATAAAAAAAAATAATAAGAACAAATAAAAGACATACCAATCTCATTAAAAACTATGGAGTCAGTTTGAACTCTCTCACAGAACTTGTACGTTTCACAACAAACAAGAACGGGTTTACTGTATGTCTTTGCAATAAGAGCTATTTGTGCAGTTCCTATTCGGGACATAACATAACCATTTGCTAGAAGAGCATGGACGCCCAAAAGTACTTTAGTAGCTTTATTCATTACAAAACTAATAGCGTTTATCAGTACATAAGTGCATTCAATTCCAGCATTAACCAGTCTACGAAGCATTTCTTTTCCTTCAAAAAGGGGATTAGCATCTACTACAATAACCCTGAACTGCTTTTTGTTTTTATTGTGTGCTTCTAATAATATTCGTAGAACTAACGACGAGCTAAAAATTCATGAAATGATTCAATTTATTATTTATTTACCCAGTTTATGTATAACAAACTGTCCCCTACTTATAGAATTTTATGTATCAATGTAAATTGATTATAAATCAATAAGATTATGAAATATACTTTTCTTTGATAATTGTATGGGAACTTTAACAACAACTTTATATTATTTTTATGTTCTAATACCACTTAACTATCAAATTATATGTAGCTGACTAAATTTGGTCAAGCAGTTTTTGCAAAAAAAGTCCATTGGTTTTTCATTTTTAATTAAAAATGATTTCATAAAAAGGTGACTAACTACTGAGTATGATTATTAGTAACTTATAGTACTTCCATTTACTTGGCCTTCATCATTGGAGGAAACCAACAATGAAAATCTAAAATAGGTCCTATTTTATAAAAGGAGCTCCAATTACTTGATTAAATGTAATATGTATTTGTGAAGTAATTCAGCCTTCCAAAACTAAACTTTTCTTAACATTAAGAGAGAGGTATAAAGTAAAAGAAAAATATAAATAAAATAAAGTAAAATTACCAGCCATAAGTAAGTATAGTGTCACCATTAGATATTTTTCCTTCTACCTTCATACTTATTGCCTCCCCTGCTTTTCCAATTTCATCGTGCATGTAATCATCTATCCATTTAATTAAACTGTTCTTCTTTTCAATATCTTGAAGATTTGTCTTCAGCTCAGCCAGAACCAATTTAAAATATCTAAGGACATTGGTCATTGAGACAGCAATAGGTCTATATATTTGAAGATAATTAACACAATTTTGCAATGCTACTTCTAAAGATCTACAAAACTCCTGCTCTGGGGGGCTTTCAAAACTTTCTATTAGAGACTTAAGAGCTGAAAGAAGAGCCAAACATCTTGCATTTGAACCTAAAATTGTTTTTGATGCATACTGAGCTCCTAATCTAACAAATGCTGGGTGAACTTCTTCCACTACTACGCTCCCTTTCTCTTTTGTTGCAACAGACAGATGACTAAATAACTGAACTTTAGTTTCTTTTGGTTTTATAATTTTCTGGGCAACTTTAAGTTTAGGTTTTTTTTCAACTTTAGGCTTTTCCTTATCTTTAGATACTATCTGAGGTTTTTTCTCATCAGCTTTATCTATTTTCTCTTGAGTTTTTTGCTGTTTTGCTAATCTCTGGGCTTCTTGAATTGCTCGACGTTGAGCTCTTACTTCAGCTTTACTTAATTCACCTTTGATATCTACATTTTTTGTTCTATCTATACTCGGTTTGTCTTCAGAAGGTTCACTTTTAAAATGTTTTTCTACAGTAACCACTTGTGGCTTGTTTTGAGTAGGACATTTTACATTTTCATTACTCTTGAAAACTACATCTTTCTTAATATCTTTTGTATTAGTAATATGTATATTATTTAAAATTTCGTTGGGAGAAGTTCCTGCAGTTTTTGCACTAACTTTTAAAGCTCGTCTTTGTTTTTTCGTTAACCCATCTCCACCAACTTTTTGATCTGCTAAAATAAAACGACTTAACTAAAGTTATACCTTATACTATGAGAACTATACACCTTTTTCTTTGTCCTGGTTCATTTTTTATTTTTAGTTTATTTATTAATATAGTAATCGATTTGTTTGAATTAATGCAAAACTAGCCATATAAAACTATAACATTAACAAAGGCTGTCGAAAATATCAAGGTCATTGAAAACATCTTTAAAAATGTAAGTGGCAAAATAATCGCCTTAAGGATATCATCCACATAATTAATTTACATTTTTTTTAAAATGTGTAGTTGATTAATTATTATGAACAATAAAATTATACTTTGATAATGTTAAAACAACTGCCTTATTTTAAAAAAACTCAAACTATTTCTGAGAAATTCTATTACTTTCTATTCTCGACTGAGGTTATTTAACCATAATTATGTATTGAATTAGTGACGTTTGTCATTTTTGCTTGTCAAAATTAAATTTAATTAATTATTTGGTGTACCTGCTGTAATTGTATCACAGGTATCCTTGCGGAATATTATTTGTTACAACGTTTTCACGTTAAAATAATTTTATATGTCTACAGTAGTTGAAGACAAACGTAATTCAAGTCATCATAGTATAATTAATAAATTACAAATTGATTGTTTTTAATATGCCAGAAAACGAGGTACAGTTAAATCAAAACCAACCTATTAATGAGAATGCAGAAACTGAAAATGCGGTAAGTCTTATAGGAATATAATTATACAGTAATTGTTAATAAAACTTGATGAAATATAATGTGATTTTTAGGTCAGTCAAGCAGAGCCAGAAAGGCAACCTTCCAGATTTCAATCATTTGTATCTATTTTAAAGCCAATACTTGTTCGTATTTTAATAATTTATTTTATAACGTCTTTTTTTCGACTCCGTTCTCCACCACCTACAACAGTAAATGTAACTGGAACACCAGGCAGTGAATCAGGTGTGGGACCAGCAAAAAACTTATTTCCAAATGGAACAAGAATGTCTCTTTTTGTGTACATAACAGAAAACGAAACTAATGAAAATTTTCATGTAGAAAATTTAGTGTGGGTGAAGAAAAACTTAATATATGGAGACTGGACTTCAGGGGAAAACAACGATGGCATTTATGCACATGAAACCGAAATTCCAATTACACAGCATTTACAAAATAATGGTTCTCTATATCTACATAGTTACATTACCAAACTAGGTGAATCACCTGACCCCAAATCACAAGATTATGGAAGAAATAAAATTTTATATGCTAAATATCAATTGAATAAGTTTAAGAAACTTAAATCAAAGTCTACTAAAAATTTAATTACTGGGCAAAGTGAAGAACCTAAAATAGTTGATGAAAAAATTGTTTCACATTGGCATCCAAATATAACATTGAACATAGTAGTTGACTTTACTGGGTGGACCTATGGTACAGTGCCTACACCATTAGATGAATATATTAAATTTACCGATAATGGGAGATTGTACAAGCCAGTATTATTTCCAAATGATTTTTGGAATCTTGCAAAAGATTATAAGCCACTTAATGAAAGTTTAAAGTTCCACATAACATTTCAACCAATCTCTTTATTCAGGTGGCAATTGTATGCTGCCCAAAATCTCCGTCATAAATGGAGTATGTGGGATGAAAATGAAACAGATAATGATGATGAACAAGACACCTTAAAGCAGACATTGTTGGAAACAAACCCCTATTTATTAGCTCTTACTATAGCTGTCTCATTATTACATTCTGTTTTTGAACTGCTTGCTTTCAAAAATGATATTCAGTTTTGGAATAATCGCAATTCTTTGGAAGGTCTTTCAGTCAGATCGATCATTTTTGGAGTTTTTCAATCCTTAATTGTTCTATTGTATGTATTAGATAATGATACAAACATGTTAATCCGTATAGGGTGTTTTGGTGGATTGTGTATCGAATTATGGAAAATTACCAAAGTAATTGATATAAAAAGGGTAGATGGCAAAATTAAATTTCAAAACAAAAGTTCATATATAGAGAGCAGTACTAAAACCTATGACGATCTCGCATTTAAATATTTGTCGTGGGTCTGCTTCCCGCTACTTTTAGGATATGGAGTCTATGCTCTAATTTACCTTGAGCATAAGGGATGGTATTCATTCATTTTAGATATGCTGTATGGATATCTTTTAACTTTTGGTTTTATAATGATGACCCCACAGCTTTTTATAAATTATAAACTCAAATCAGTCGCCCATCTTCCATGGAGAATGTTAACTTACAAATTTTTAAATACTTTCATTGATGACATGTTTGCTTTTGTAATAAAAATGCCAACGTTATACAGACTAGGATGTTTCCGCGATGACATAGTATTCCTTGTTTTCTTGTACCAAAGATGGATTTATCGTGTAGATAAAACAAGAAGAAACGAATTCGGTTATGCCGCTGAGCCCCTAGAAGAATCTGTTCAAAATCAACAAAAAAGTATTCAAGAAAAAACCGCAGAAGAGAAGAAAGAACAGTAACTAATATAATTCCTTAATATAAATAATATACTGAATTATTTGTTGTAGTGTTATGTATTTATTGTTATCAGTGATAGTGATTGTTTGTATAATTCCGGCATAAAAGCACAACAATAAAATCTATGTAAATGTTCAAAAAGATGATTTATTTTAGCATAAAAGGTAATGTAACCGTATAAAGGATCTTATTTGTATTTTACACAATTCAGCTATATCTAAACAATTCCTAAAATAAGAACAAGGTCACAAAACGAATATTTAATTAATGCTACTTAAAAAAAAAAAATTGAAACCGAAAACATCTCAAGTACTACGGAAATTAAAAAAAAAAACGAATGAATAATTTTACAATTAATACAAAACTCTGTAATTCATTTAATTCTATAAAAAAATACAAATATGACCTAATTTTTAATTGTCCTTGATTTAATCACCTTAGCGTTTCTTCATATCGTAATCGATTCAACTTGAAATACTATTAGTGCCAATTTTTTACCAATTTCCTTCAGTATAATTTCCATCGAATTGATTGGGAGGAGGTGGCGGTGGACCACGTGGTGGAAATGGAGGTCTTCCGGGTGCTCCGAAAGGCGGTGGTGGTCTCCAATTTGGGGGTGGTCTGGCTCCAGGTGGAAGCGGTGGAGGTAAATTCGGTGGCAAATTCGCTGAACCTCCTGGAGGTGGAGGACCTTGCCAGTTTGGCGGTGGAGGCATCATACGCGGTGGTGGAGGCGCATTCGGTGGTAAAGATGATGGAGGTTGGGATGTAGGAGTAGGAGGTGGTGGAGGTCTTCCTAAAGAAACCGAAGTAGGAGGCGCTGGTGGCGCACCAGGAGGCAGAGGCGGTTGAGAGGGGGGCAAAGGAGGTGGAGGAATACCAGAAGGAAAGGCAGCTGGTGGTGGAACTGGAGGAGGTGGTGGGGGCGGCATACTTGTGGGTGTCGGAGGAGGTGGAGGCATCATTCCTATAAAATGTTATATTAGTTTTTTGAAACTGGATTAATTATGATATATGTTATAGCACTTCAATTTATTAATTACCTGCTAGAATTACTGGTGGTGGTGGCGGGGCCATAGTCATAACAGGTGGCATCATATTCATAGGTGGTGCATCTGCAAATAATTGATGAGGTCGATCTGCTTGTGACAACGGGTTCTGCGCCGCAAGCAATCTTTCAGCTGCTGAGCCATGTCTTTCGCCTTTAGCATCTTTCTTAAAGGCATATGACACTGATATGGGCCTATTACACAAATACTGACCATTCATCGCCTCAATTGCTGCATCAGAAGCTTCAAAACTGGCAAAATTTATAAAGGCAAATCCTTTTGAATTTCCTGTTTCTGGATCCCTCATTATCTTAGGGGTTTGAAGTATAACTCCAAAGGCAGAAAAAGTATCATACAAAAGTTTCTCATCTACTTCAGGATCTAGATTTCCTATAAATATATTTGCCCCTACATCCAAATTCTTTTGATGAGCTGATGCCTTATTCACTCTTATAGGTTTTCCATATAACTTAATCATATTGATTATTTTAATTGCATAATCTGCATCTTCCTCTCCCATGAATTCTACAAAGCCATATCCTTGATGCATCATTGTAACCCTATCCTTTGGCATATGAACATTTACCAAAGGACCTGCTTGAACAAACAATTCCCATAATAAAGACTCTGTCACTTTATCATCTAAGCCACCAACATAAATTGTAGCATCTCTATTACGTTCTGCAATGGGTCCATTTGCCATTTTTCACTTTGTTATTTTATCACAATTTTATGTTAGCCACAATCTGAACAAATTAATCAGATATTTTAAACACTTTGCATTGTTAATTAACAATAACAACTTGTTAATCTCATACAAATGCCACTTTCGTTTAGGTATTTATATGTTAGGCATGATATAAATAAAGGGGATTTAAAATGTAAAGGGGTACATTAGAGCGATTACGGGTTTGGTTTTAATTTAATTAGGGAAAACACGACTAAATACCGATAAAAATGTCTAAAGACCGGTGTAACACAACTAGGTTATGAAGCAATTAACCACAATTAACATAAGCAATTAGGTTATGTATGAAACCACAGATTTACGTTTCATAATATTTAATATCTTTTATCTATGAGTGAAACCAGGATATTATCTATGACCAGGATCAAAGATACAAAACAGCTAGTCTGAAAAATAAAACATCTTAATTACGTCATAGGTCTAGACATTGAATGTATAGACTTATCTCCTACACGACTAAGCAGATCTCCACGGGACTTATATATCCTGATTAATGATTGTTCTTTCTAATTATATGTTACAGTTGCAGAAATACACACAAAAAATAAAACAAAAACTGGATATTTAGGACATTTATTTCTGAGAATGTACAGATGATTCACAAAATTTGCAATTGTTGTTAAAATACACTTCATTAAAGTTACCGAAAATTAAAAAAGGAAAATGGCAAAATCAGTCATATTAGAACATTTATTATAGTATTACGTAGCCTTATATTTAATACTTCATCACCTAGACACATCACAAGTCCAAATCCATATTAGGATTGGGTTCTACTTCAATTTCAATCGCAGATTTATCGCTGTCTGAAGTGTAATTATCCAATTCATCATCGTTATTATTGTTGTTGTTGTTGTCATTGCCACCATTATTTGATACCCCACTTGTACCAGGTAATGAAACTACTGGTGGTGTCCATGGGACCAATGCAGTGCATGGTCTTGCAATCTTGGACAATATCTGATGGGGTATGATTGATTCTGCTTGCAATCGCCGCATCTCATCACACATATACAATCTTTGCATTTTCTTATCTTCTGGTTCACTGCAGCTGACAGGTGTTTCTGAATTAATGTGCAGTCGACTCATACTCTCTGCCATCTTTTCTTCTGTAATGTGTTGTTTAAATGGTGGCAAGCTATCAAAATGAAATATGCTATAACACGGAGAGTGAAAAACATATTGGATTGTTATTTTAAAATCCCCTACGAGTTACACTAGAAAGCCACATGAAAAAACTTACTACCTTTTTGTATAAAACTGAAATCATCCAGTTAATCAGAATGCGCATTCTAGACACCAAGCAGTAATCCTTAAAGTGCAATTATTCTATAACAGATAAAGATTAAAGTTATTACTTGTGGTAGTAGTATCTGATCTAAAAACACCAGCCCTAAGACCAAACTTCAGTATCTTTTAGAAGTTAAATAGTTCTTCAAATTACCATTCCTCTTTGAATTAAGGAATTGAGGTATTCAGTTTTTAAGCAACTTTTACCTATTACCTTCATGATAATACCTGTAGTACTGCAATTGTCACTTTTAACTGTTAAGTAGAATGCGCATTAAAAACAACAAGGAAAAGGTGCATCTAGTACTATATTGTACCATACTTACTCAATAGATTCTGGTTTACGTTTGCATCTATAAATATCCCTCATAAATTTACTTGATTCACTGAAAGCACCATTCAGTTTTTCTGTGAAATTATTCAAGTTTTTCTGGTAACTTGGTTGAGTAAAAGCATCATTAGCAAAGGGGAAGTGCACAACTGAACTAGATGGTAACCCTTGTGGTGCATTAGATTGTGATGAAGAAAATAAGAAGCTGTTTGAAGTGCTGCTTAATAAGTTTGGCAAATTAAATTGGAAAGGTCCAGAAGCTGGAACTTGACACTGATCGTAGATCCCCATTTGGAAAGGACTGTAATTTTCATTGTATCGCGAGAATCCAAGTTCATCAGGATTTGGAGCAGTCACTGGTTCTTGTTGCGAATGCATTCCGAATTCAGGATTTGAGAAACAACTGTTTGTGTATTCCGATAATGTCTGAGGAAAACGCTTATTGTATGGGTCACCAGTCATAATATTCATAATATTGACTCCCGGTTCGAACTCACAGGCGTTTTTGTATTTTGCACACAAACAACAAATCCTTTGCTTAACGCAAATTCAAAAGTTAAACATATCCAACACACGTTAATACAATCTGACACCTTTTTTTCTTACTAATCACGAAAAACAATAACCACTCTCGTAAACAAACGACAGCACCGTGGAACTAGTAAAACTGCAAAAGCGCAACAGCTGACCTTTTATAGTGTTATAGAAATTTCTGGAATATTCTAGTTTTGATAAAGTAATTCATCTACTAGTCGTAAGATGTCGGCAGGTAAGTTTTACGGCGGGACTTTACAAAACTTATTAAACGTGTATCGCTCAGTGTTCAACAATAAATAAGAAAAACATACGTATTGCAGAGAAATAAAAAATAATTTAAAGTAAAGCGAAAGACTACTAAAAGCTGAAACATTTAAGGGGTAAATAAAATGTTATTAAAGAATATTTTTGAACATAATGGCAGATTTCAATTTTTTTTACTGCGATAGAATACTCTTAATAGAAAACGAGTTATTCATGCTAAGTTTACAATATTTTACATCTATGCATTGTGCAATTTAATTTTATTTATGCTGGTAAAAGTTTAACTGAACAAACAAGAAGCTGTACTTTTTTAACAGGGTCATCCGCGTTCAGTACAACAGGTTTCAAAGAAATTCTCAGTAATTCATAAGACAGTGCACAAGAAATTGTGGAAGTAATCAGTGTGTGACAGTAAAAGAGAGAAATGGATAAATTATTTAGTTTTGCCAACAACAGGTACTTATTAATTTACTACACTTTGAAATAACGATTTGGATTGTTATTTTCTATTTTCGCAAAAAAGAAACGGCTACATTAATACCTCTTCTTATATGCAAGGGTATTTTGTATCTGTTGTAGGAAATAAGTCAAGGTACTAAACAGAAAAAAAATTAATAAAAACCTAGTAAATTCAATTCAACACAGAAGCAAATAAAACAATCCTTTGGAGTTCATTTTTGATTTCTGTAATTACTTATCAAATAACTTTTGGCGACATGATTCTCTCTTCAAACCTGTTATTGGTGACGCAATATTCCTATTTTCACTTTTATTTGTTAAAATAGAAAGCAAAATCATTATGCGTATAACGAATAGTGTAAAATTAGTACCAAAAATTAGAATACAACAGGAACAATTACTTACGTATATACTTTAATACTTATGCTACATTGATTTTTGAAAAAAACTTATTTTGTGCAAACGAAGAAGTTTAATCAGTTCGTTAACCTAAGTAACAAAAAATTATTATACTTCATTTGTGTTTTCGACTTTTATGTACGCTGTCGTAAATGTGCTTTGTCAACAATAAAAAATATAGTAATTAAAAAATACCATCTTCTCTTTAAAATATAAAAAATAATCAGACCTTAACAAAAATATGTTGTCACATGTGCTTTCTATAATTATTAATACGTAATTTTAAAATTTCTGCAAAGGTATAACAATCAACTTCAAAAAACATTTACAGGAACGGTTGTTTTTCAGTTTTCAAATTATACTATTTATAAATGATAATTCCTAAAAGTTCGCATACTTATGCACGATCTATTTGATGTCCCAAAATGATTTGCCCTAATGCATACTGAAATAATCATACGGTTATTATCGGAATAGACTTTGAAACGGAAGCTACCAGAATTTATAATCGCATTAATAACTAACTAACAATACTAATTACAAAACATAAATGACGTTATAGCAGTGCCTGGACCTAAAAACGAACATTTTTAACGACCTTTTTGAAATTAATGCTTAGGCATAACTACACTAGCATTAAGTTGTTTGTACGTAAACTAAACGAATTTGATAGCTTCTTTGAAACTGTTTTTTCATTTTACTTGTAACTTTTAAACAAAAAGAAAATTTGTAACGTTTTTAGGTTTTGCATTATCAGATTTTCAATGAACCATTAGGTAGAGTGCCTCGTAAACCAGTTCTGATGTTTTTTTATTTTAAAACAAGTTTACAGTTTCTTCCGAACAAAAACATAAGTATCTTTTTAGTTGTGATGAGAGAAAATATATGTTTAAAAGTAACAAGTTTATTTAATTGCTATGAAATTATAAGAAATATTTGTGATTTTGAAAATGACAAGTAATCATTTAATTATTATTAATATTACTTTCACCCCCTTAAAGGGTGTGAATGTATAAAAAACGAATGTTTACTTTTTGCACTGCTAGTAATTGGTGTAATTAATATAGTCAAAACATCATGATTCGAACCTCGTACATGGAACCAATTATGTTCGAGTTAGAGAAAATTCAAATTAACAGAATGTTAGACAATAATCAGTAAATCGTTTGTATTGTCTTTTTCTACCGTAACCAAATCGCTTTTTTCCCTGTATTCCAAAATATAATACTTGAAAGTAGGGATGCACCGGATAATGATTAGAGCCGGGTAGCGGATAACTGGGTACCCGGTATAAGCAGTGCCGATATTTCTATTTCGGTATTCTACACGGAGAAAACTATTTTTTTATGACAACGAAAAAATTACAATTTTCGATTGTAAATGACTGAATTTGCCGTAGAAACAGTAGAATTTATTAGGTAACTTGTAACAATCTCGACTTTTGACATGTTTCTTTAAAAATTATTTCAACTTTCTTAATTATTGCAATTAAGTTTGTAATATCAACTAAAATACCTAGTAAATTTAATTCTGCTGGGATTTTATTTTTACAAATTCGGGTCCAAATTGTAATTTTTATTATTTTCACTTACGAAGCAACGGGATAGTAGGATAAATTGTAAATATCGTTTTAATGTTTATGTAAATTTTTGTTTTTAATTTTCTCCGTGTCTATATAGAGCCTCCAATCATTTTTCGCTTATCAGTCGAACCTAGAGTTACAACAAAACTGACAAAAGTATTATAGACATTCAACGACAAATTAGCGTCAAACTATATAGCTCTTTCAGTATTTCTCTACGTCATTTCTGTTTTTCATAATATAATACTTGAAAGTTTGTGGTTGTAATAGTTCTGTTTAAAAACTGGAGCCTCCGATTATTTATCGCTGCGGCTGATTTCTCCAAAGAAAATCAATTAGATAACTTATACATTCGAAATTTGAGTTAGAAAAAAATGAATGTGAAAAAATATGTCAGATGAACAAAGAAATAATGTATAATAAGCTAGCACGACAGAGTTATTTTTCTTATTTCTAAGGTGCATTACAATTTGTCGTTAATTTGTTACTAAAACCAAAAATTTGTCGTTCCAGGCGGTTACTGGGAAATAGACAAATTGGTACAAAACGTGCACCACATATAGCGTATCTCCAAGTAGAAACACCGTAGAGAAATGCAGTGAAGACTGTAATTTGTCGCTGAAATATGGTTCTTTTATTCATTTTGTCGCCGCGCATCCAGCCTCTACCCGATCAGCGAAAAACGATTGGAAAATTACCATAATTTATCGCTAATTTATCAATGCTTTTTCTATTGCCCTGTATGCTATGTGTAGTGGCAGTTGACGGTCCTCTAATCATTTTTCTATGATCAGATTGAGGCTGGAGTCGCGACAAAATAGGCAAAAGTATCATTTACATTCAGCGACAATTTAGCGTCAAATCATAGCCCTTACAGTATTTCTATCTAGAGGTACGTTACGTGTATTTTGGGGCATTTTAGAAATGTGAAATACAACTTTGTGGTGCTACATATGTAGATAAAAGAATACTCAAGTTAGAGAAGATTTTATAGGAGTTACAGAAGTTCGATTGCAGTATTAAATTCTAAAACTTGTTATTAACTGATGTTCACGTAATTCGTTCAAAGTTTTATTTAACATTTGGGCATTTCTGTGGATATCTACTAATACTTTTAAAACAACATTAACATGCTTCAGACTGCTCGTGTGACGCACAAACTTTTATTCCACGTATTGCTCATGCACGTGAACATCCACACGACGATCTTTTGAATCATTTAATTATATTTATTATGAATTATAATGTATATCCTTGACGATTATGTTTTCAAGAACTGTATGCTAAGTACGAAGGGTATAAATAGTAAATAAAATATTATCATTATACGAGAAACACAAGAATGTTTTCACAAATATTTACTGTCAAGAGAATATTGTTTCGGCCGATACGACTATTCTGTTTAAATTTGAAAAAAATTTCCATCTGTTAAGTTGGAAAATTGGGGGATGATGAAAAAATTACTTGAAGAGATGATGCAGCTTCGTTATTATTATTTGATTTTGTTAATTTTTCAGTTTAAATTTGCACGTATATGTCAGCAAAGCATTGAAACCGGTTTTTATACGTCGGTATATTTTAATTACTTTATATGTAGGAAACGTCACAGAAATTGCAACATTATTAATAATAATTAATATTTGATAAGCATCATTTTTGAACGTACGGTTGANTTCCTTTGTCTTTGAACTTATCAACTTAATAATTTTTACAGTAAAGAGTTATTCACCTTGTAAGCTCAGAAATTATTTAATTTTTATTGCTTAGCATGTTTATAAATTTAATGCTGCTAAATTTATCTCTATTGTTAATAAAAGGTGGTCTGTAAAATAATTATATAAACATCTTTTTTAGTTTGCTCTTTAAGGTATTATCTGTTAAATATAATTGTAAAAGTGTATTAAGATTCAAAAGATTCCTAAATTAATTTTTTTCAGTCATAACAAAATTTTATTCAGATTATATCGTTAGTAATAGTCATATTTGTACTTCAAATTACTTAACAATGCTATTGTGAACATCAAAATGCAAAATATGTTGAAAACTACGATTCTGATTTTTCGGATCCATTACAAAAACGTCTTTTAGGACTGCAAACTTAATTTTGAGCCGCTAGTATTCTATCCAGAGCTAAAGCGTGTGCAAAAGAAATTTTATATCAAGGGTAAATTTCTATTTTATTAAAATCTACTTTTTAAGTGGTAAATTAGGCTAAAAAATTGTGAAAAATGAAAAAAAATTATCTCTTAACTTCAGTAAGTTATTGTTTGTGAATTTTGATCAAAAGACAAGAAAAAAGAAATCGTCTTTTGATCATCAAAGTATCTTTTCCTAACAATTTTTAATTTGCCCCATCAATTTAATTATGTAATAAGAGACAAAAAAATAAAATGTTTTATCATTTTCAAAATCTTAAAAAGTAGATTTAATTTAATGGAATTTAAGACACATTTTTGTGCTTTGGGACATGGGAGCTTGTACTAGTTGAACTACAAATGCCTTCGCCTCATCGTCCCTATCATAAAGTGAACCGTTAGGAGTTAGGGTTCGACAGGGCGACGCCGTTCAGTTTTTGTTGCACCGGCTGTGAAAAACTTCCGTTTTTATGGTTAAATAAAAGACGGTTGCTTTCCACAAATTTTTATTAAAAAAAATCTTGGTATTTTGGCACACGAAGGTGGTACAGGGAGAAAACTAAATTTTTATGACAACGCAAAAAGTACAATTTCGATTGTAAATGAGTGAATTTGCCGNATGTTAAGAATGCAATTTTAAATATGAAATTTTAAAATTCAAAGCGAAAAACTAAAAAAAAGATTTATTAGCAAAAATAAAGGAAATGTATTTTTATGTTTTACGAAGATTAACTGAAGCTTTATACACTGCCTGAAGCGGTATATGAATAGTTTTCGGTACCGGAAAATTACAAACACAACTTTTGTTGTTAACTATACATAAATTTCAACTGAGCAGGCGCAAAGGAGCTGTTTTAGAACAGATACTATCGTACAAAGTACACACGATACCACGATTAATCGTAAAATGAAAAGAAAAATACGTAGCCAAGCAACGAGCAACTTGGGCGAGTTGCTAGCTAGTGTTGAAAGAACATTTTGCGTTGTTATTAGTCAGCTGTCGCTGTTAGATCGTCAAGTTTTGTCGTTTTAAATTATTATTTTATTTTAATTTTTCGTTAATAAATTTCAACAACAAAGTTGATTATTAATACTGTATCGTTTCGTTATTTAACTTAAAACGACAGTAGTTTGTTATGTACTAACAGTAATCGTAAGAGTGTTCAAAAAAGAAACGAAATGAAACTCGAGAAAAGTGAAGAAATGGCTAACGAAAGTCTTTTATTACAAAATAGGGGCAGTTCCACGGTTAAAGTGCAAATCGTTCCTAAACAAAAGACTCTCACCCATCTACCTAAAAGGCCGAAAGTGGATCTAGCATTCGATAACCTTATCTACAATGTACGACAAGGCAAAAGTAAGTATTATTTTTTTTTTCAATTATTTAGTTGTTATATTTATAATTAAATGGGCATTCGTATTTTCGTATTATTGTACAAATAGTGTAAGCTTTAAGAGACATTTTTATAAAGCACCCATTTAAGTATAGGGGTCAGTAAGTGTATATTTTTCANATAAAAGTGTGGAAAATCTTGAAATTTATTTTTTTTTTAAACTGATGTCTGACACTGACGCTTAACTTTAAGACCAGAAAAGGTCAGTTTAGCACTGTTTCTATCAATGTACAACCATAAGAAACATTAAATTTCGAGTAATTGAAGAATATTACTAGGAATTCGAATTAAAAAGAAATCATATTGTAAAACTCGTAATCGAATCTCTAGTTAGAAAAGTTTCTGACGTAGAGAAATGGAGAAATTCGCAATAATAAAGGGTTTGGAATAAATGCTAAACAATATGTATGTCAGTATGTCAAGGAAACAAAAAAATATTCCAGTTAGAAAAGATTTCGGGTTATGGAAGTTCAAGTTATAGAAGATTATAATGTTTATTAAAACTATTTCCTGCTCCTTCATTCTTCGTAAAAATACAAGACGATAAAAGATAATTGTTACACTATTTTTTCGTTGTCTACAAACACAAAAAAATTTATTTGAAATTGAAAATATTTTACATTTGTAGTTAGGTTCCTACCTATTATAAATATACCTATTTTCGTTTTAATGAAATTCAAAGTGCGATTTGAATAACAAATTGTCATTGGTTTCGGTTGATAAACAATGTCATTTTCACGATAATGGATTTTTGTGACCTGATTGTGTTGGTATATTCCTTTGTCTTGACCATAGAATTTCATTATCCCAACAAAATATTTGTCGGTAACGCTTTTTTTTGTATTTATTTAGGATAGGTACAAGCATTTGTACTATGCACCATAATGGTACTTGCACAATTACTTCAGGAATGGTACTTAATGACAATAAACTTAATGACACCTGCCTGATTTGTAATTTACTACAAAGATTCCATTTTGCCTTATTATTATTACGTAAAAAAAAATATTTATAAACCTAACAATATTCTAAAAACGTAGCATTGTATGTGTGTATATATATATATATTTATTTTTTTTTAACGCTGGTTTACAATATAAAAATTTAATGGAATATTACTCGGTCCATTAATGATAAACTTGTGAGATTTTAAAACAATACAAAACAAAAAACAAACCAATAAGTAGCAATGGCATTCACTTTATGCTTTCTTGCTTTTTCATTGTTTCATACCTATCAATTTCATTTCTTCATGTGTTAAATACCTATTGTTATTACATTCACAAACTTTCTTTTTCAATTCACAAATACTGATGTGGAAAATTACAAGAATTATATATTAAATGGCTGTTTATATAGGTACATTCTGTTTGTTCAAATGTTATACGCATTTGTAAATAAATTAGGTATGTTTTTGTTACAGATATTATTAAGAAAATTTTTAATATTTGTATTGTAGCGTTATACTGCTGCAAATAATGCATTCAGGCATTTCCAAAGCATATTCAAATATTGAACCAGTGCTACAAGTAAAGTGTTTAAACAATTGAGAGCTAGTTGATGATACAAGTATAGTTATTTCGTAGAAAACGTGGAACAGTTAATTATAGGTAGTTTCAGAACGTGAAGTTGGCCTTGAAAGATAAATAGATATTTTGTATTAATTAATTTCAGTCACTTCGACTATTCTTGAAAGAACGAAATTTGTTACTATTCCTAAACAGATATTGTTTCTTTGGTCAAAGCAATAGTTATCGTAAATAAACAAATCATATTTTGAGATGCACTTTCGTATAAACTAATAATGATACTTATGTGAAAAAAAAATATGAATTTTAAGCTTTATAATGGCTCAATTCAGTGTAACTTTTATACAGCATCTATTACAATGTTTCTTAATACAATTTTAACATCCAAACATTCAGTTATGTCTAGCTTTTCTCAATTATTTTTGTTGTTTTTATATGTCTTGCTTGTTAACTGATGAAATACATAACATTGACATTTTTAACTAGATAAATAAACAAAACATTTAAATGTCATTTGAAGTTTAAAATGAACAATATTTTTTCAACATTAAAAAGTATATCTAAACCAATTATTTTTTTGCGTACGAGCAAGAATGACGTTGTTTCAAATTTGACCAAAAGGAGAACAGAATATGTTTTTGTCGAAAACGTTAGTACGGATGACCAACAAAATGTTTTATCTTCAGTTTAGGTCATAGCAGATTATCAGTTGTTTTCATGGTCATGAATTATTATGAAAAATGTTACAATGTAAGTGTAATATAAATTACAATAATTGAAATGACGTACTATTGTGATCACTAGCAATGGAAATGCCATCTCGTAATATTGTTGCAGTTCAATATGGTTTCAAGTACCTAACACTTCTTAAAATTGTTCAGGGGAGCAATTTTAACTAAAATTGTCTCATTTATTTAACGAAATGAAATAAAATATCCCAAATATAATACTTGAAAGTAGG